CGCTGCACCAGCCGCATCCCGCTGCTCCAACCGCATCCCGCTGCACCAGCTGCATCCCGCTGCTCCGACCGCATCCCGCTGCTCCAACCGCATCCTGCTGCACCAGCTGCATCCCGCTGCACCAGCTGCATCCCCCTGCACGGGCCGCATCCCGCTGCACTGCCTGCATCCCGCTGCTCCAGTCACATCCCACCGCTCCGCTCACCGTCTCTCCCGGGGCGCCCCGCGCTCCAGGAAAGCCGCGCGTGCCGGCGGGACCATCCTTGCCGGGAACGCCGGCAGGCCCGGGATCCCCCTGCACGGAGAAGGCAGCGGGAAGCTCCGGAGCCGGCGCCGGCCGCCGCTCCCGGCGCTGCTCCCACCTTGGCTCCTTCCCGRCCGGAGGCTCCGGGCAGCCCCTGCTCCCCCGGGGGGCCGGGGGGCCCCGGGTGCCCCCGCTCTCCCACGGGTCCCGTCTCTCCGGACTTGCCCTGGGAGCAGAGAGCGGATGCAGCGGCGCTGTTCCCGTCCCGTCCCCTCTCCATGGAATTCCAGGCGCTCACCTGCGGTCCCACCACGCCAGCAGGCCCCGGCACTCCCGTTTTCCCGTGGAATCCCTGCRGAGGAGCAGGGTGAGGCCCGGAAGCGCAGGGAGTCCACGGGATCCGAAGGGAAAAGCCGGCACTCACCGGCTCTCCGCGCTGGCCCGGGTGTCCCGGCAAGCCGTCCTTCCCAGCGGGACCCTGCGGTGATGGGACGGGATGAGCGGATCCCAGCGCATCCCGGCGGCCGGAATCGCTGCCCTCGGCTCCCTGGCRCTACTTACGGGCGGCCCTTTGGTGCCCGGGAATCCGCTGGGACCCTGCGGACCCTGGGGACCCTGTGGAGAGAGGGAAGAGCCCATGGGGGACAGCTTGGACCAGGGAATGGTCCCAAATCCCGGCGTCCTGCATCCTGGGCTCTCATCCTGCATCCCGCATCCTGGCCCCTCATCCTGCATCCTGGGCTCTCATCCTGCATCCTGGCTCCTCATCCCAGTATCCTGCATCCTGCATCCTGGGCCCTCATCCCAGCATCCCTGTATCCTGCATCCTGGCCCCTCATCCCACATCCTGGGCCCTAATCCTGCATCCTGCATCCCAGCCCCTCATCCCAG